TGACGAGTGGATAATGAAAATATGGTTCATTTATACGATGGAGTTCTACTCAGCAGTAAAGAAAGATGAAATCATGAAATTTGCAGGTAAATGGATGGAACTAGAATCTGTTATACTAAGTGAGTTAACACAGACTCAGAAAAACAGGACATATGTTCTCCCTCATATCTGGATTCTAGCACTAAATCCTTATAAGTGAGTATGTATCCAGACATGAGTACAGAAACCAGGATAAGGAAAAGGAACCAGGGAAGTAAAGGAAAAGAATCTGAAAGAGAAGAGCAGTCAGTGCTCTTACCTGCTGAGCCATTTCTCCAGCCTCAAAAACCACTTTTGTTTTTTTTTGGTCTTTTTGAGACAGGGTCTCCCTGTAGCCCCAGCTGTCCTGGAACTCATTATGTAGACCACGCTGGCCTCAAACTCACAAAGATCGGACTGCCTCTGCCTCCAGAGTGCTGGGATTAAAGGCGTGCACCACCATGCCCGGCTAAGACCATTTTTTAGGCAAGGCACTCAAACTATGAAATTCTCTTAAAATTCCCTTCTAAAGATATTTGTTATTGCTTGAAAACGAACATACTAACACAGAAAGTGGATTTTTCAGGAATTATCACATGTAGAACTATCAGAAATGTCAGGCTGAAAAGGAACTGGTTTGCTTTCAGTGTTTTTACATATTTTATTTTTATGTGAATGAGTGTATGTATGTATGTATGTATGTAAGTGCACTTCATGCATATAATGCCTTTGGAGATATGAAGAGTGCATTGGACCCCCTGGAACTTGAGTTGATAGCCACCATGTGGGTGCTAGAAACCAAACCCCAGTCCTCTGCAAGAGCGCAAGTACTTTTAACAACCAAGCCCTCTCTCCAGTCCTAAGTATTTTTTTCTGTGTTTGTGCATGACATGTGTGGGCACGTGTGCCATGGCACCACGGAGGTGAAAGATGACTTTGTGGGGTCAGTTCTCTCCTTCCACCTTTATATGGGGTCTGGGACTCAAACTTGGGTTTCTAGGCTTGCATGGCAATGCCTTTATTCACTGAGTCATCTTGAAGGTATTGTTTGATTTTTTGAGATAAAACTTCCAGTTTATTTATCACTGTCTTCTCCTTACTGATATTTCATTTCCACCCAGTTAATGTGGATCCATCCCAGACCTCCTCTTATTTAATAAAGAGCAGCAAATCTAAGTGAAGCAAATATTTTATTTAAATCAGTTGTCAAATCACAATTTATCCAAAATGAACATAATGCAACATTGTTCTTAAAAGAAGGGGCACAGATAGGACAATCCAGTATCTATCAAAATACCATTTGTAAAGAAGGGACTTGTTTTGTTCTGTGTATGAATTCGGTCCAGCATGTAAGAGTACAATCAAAAAGTTACACAGATTCCTTCTGCATCACATAAAAAACATCTCACTGCCTCAGGCTCACTCAGCTGTCCAAACAACCATATAATGAATGACTTGATCTGCTACTGAAACATCTTTCCAACCTGGACTGGATTAGAACGGGGGGGAAAAACAATGTCACAGTAACCATGGGACATTCTGTGTGTTTCGAAAGACATTTTATTTGAGCTGGCTGTGCATAGGAAAGGGACCAGTTTCAGAGGACCTACTAAAGCTGGACCTAAAGCATTAGTGCATTAAAAATAAGAATTGTACCTTCTTGTCAGGAATGTTATTTCTTAGAAGCTGTTTTCCACGGGTTATGATTGAGGTCTGGAACTTCCCTAAGCTTCACCATGACTGCACAGCCATCATATATTGTGTAATACAAAAGGCATGTGCTTAAACGTTAGGGAAAATATACAATAGGTACAGGAGGAGGACTATGTAAAACGTACATATAAATACATAAAGAAGGACGCTCCAGTTGAGAAGTAGAATTAGGTATTGCCGACGTCGATTTCAGGTTAAGAATCTAGGACCTTAAATCAGAAGTAATCATATGGTATATCAAGGGGAAAGAAAAGGTGGTCTTGAAACAAGCTGGCTCTAGCTCCCGATGAAGGCTCGGGATTGTCGGGGGCCACACTACAGGGATATCAGTGGACAGCCCTGCTCTCTGGCTCTCAGAGTTCTGAAATCTTGGTCTCAGGTCCCACCAGCAGCATTTTGTTCCACGACTTGTCTTCACATTCTGGTCTTGCAAATATACAATAGTAACTGTAGAAGAAAGAGCAAAGAGGGTAAATAAAAATCGACTTCTCCCTCATTTCGGCAAAAGAGCTATGCAAGTGAGCTACAGAAATGGAGAGCTCCTGTGAACACCATAAAAGGAAGAAAAGGGGTCAGCGAGGTGGCTGAGGGGGTTAAGGTGTTTGTTGTACAAACTTGGAGACCTGAGTTCAATCCCCAGAAAAGTTGTCTTTTACACCCAAACCATAGCATATGTACATACACAGATCATGTACACACATACACATGATGAATATTAAAAAAAAATTTAAGGACTAAAAAGATAGCTCAGTGGATGCTCCAAAATGTACACATACACACACATACACACACATACACACACACACACACACACGGTGTGTGTGGGGTGTCTCTTTTTCACAGGCTAAGGAATAGCTCAGTGGCAGAATTCTGGCCTAGGCCTAGCATGTGCCCTGAGTTCAAACCTCAACACCATATATACAGAAAAGAGAAATGGCAGGTTGTGGTGATACACACCTTTAATCCCAGCACTCAAGAAGCAGAAGCAGAGGCAGGTAGATCTCTGTGAGTTAGAGGCCAACCTGTTCTATATAGCCAGTTCTAGGCCAGCCAGGACTACATAGTGAGATCTTGAAGCAAGCCTTTCGGATCGAGAGAGAGAGAGAGAGAGAGAGAGAGAGAGAGAGAGAGAGAGAGGCATCTTAATAGGTCCACTAATGGTGGCCCGTGCCCATAATCTCAGCACTGGGGAAGCTGAGGAAGGAGGATTATCTTTAGTTCAAGGCCAGTCTGTGTGACACAATGCATTCTGTTTTTTAGAAAAACAAAAAGGAGGGGCTGGAGAGATGGCTCAGTGGTTAAGGACACTGTTCTTGCAGAAGACCTGGGTTCAAATCCCAGCACCCACATGGCAGCTAACAACTGTCCGTAACTCCAATTCCAGAGGATCCGACAGCCTCTTCTGTCCTCCGTGGGTGTTGCATGACACGGGTGGACTTACCTACATGCAGGCAATACACACATACACATAAAATAAAAATAATAAAATATTTTTTAAAGAAGGAGTGTGGTGGTACACTCCTGTAATCCTACCTCTTGGGAGGTAGAGGCAGGAGAAGCAGGAACACTCCTTACCAGACTAGGGAGGCTTTTTTTTTTTTTTTAAATGCTTGTTAATACTGCTGAGGAGAGATAACCATCTTTTCTCCAAATTACTATAAACTAAAATTTAAAAGTCTGATATATACTTATGCCTTGAGGCAGAGACAAGATGCTCTTATACACCTATACCTTTTTCCCCCTAAAATAATCACAAAGGAGTAAAATGAAGTCATTGTTTCCATGACATCAATAAGACTAAGGGGTAGAAGGGGTGGAGAGATGGCTCAGCAATTAAGAGAATTGGTTTTTTTTTGCAGAGGACATGGGTTCAGTTCCCAGCAAACAGAAGTCAGCTAACAACTATCTGGAACTCCAGTTCCAGGGGATCTGATGCCCTTTTCTGGCTTCTGTGGGCATTGCACAACGTGGGTGCACTTACAGACATGCGGGCAAGACACTCATGTACGTAAAGTAAAAATAAAGACTAAGGAGGATTTTGATGAGAAAAAAAATGGCATAAATGGAAAAATTTTTTTCTCCAGAAAGAATCTTACTTACCCAACATCTTAGGACTCTGCCAGCTCTCTTTCTGGCTTCTGTGGGTCCTCTTCTGTCTGGAGCTTCAGCTCCTTGTTTGACTCACTGGGCATTTTTCCTTCCTGAACTCCTGTTTCCTGCACATCTGTTAGCTTTGGTCCATTGGTATCTGGAGACTCTTTGGTTAGAATTCCCAAGGCATCAGCTTCTGCCAGGACCGGCTTTTGGTACTCAGGGTCAGCAGCCGCATCTCCTTTCTGGTCTTTGGATTCAGATGGTGGCTTCTCTACACGTTCTCCTAATTTGGCACGACCATCACCTGGCACAGGCTTTACTTTGTTTCCATCTCCCTCCGCCTCAGACGGGACAATTACCTCCTCAAACTGCTGGTCATTCACAATAGCACTTTCCACCTCGTTTACCTTCATCTTTTCTGAAGCCTCACTCACATCTTTGGAAAAATCAGAAAGCACTGGTTCCACAGCGTCTGGCTGGGACGCTTCTTGGGCTGGGGTGGTTAGGGTTTCATTTTGTGCAGAGGCCTTATGGCAGCTTTCTTCTTTGTCCAGTGTCTGTTCTGCTTCCTGGCTGTCAGCTTGCATCAAGGGAGCTTGTGTCTGTAAATCAGATGCACAAGCTTCAGGGGCTTTTTCTTCTGTACTAGAAAACTGGTCCACAGCTGTCTGGATGATGTTTTGGACAAGCTTGCTGCTCTCGGTCTCAAGTTCTGAAATTGCAGCTTCAGCCTTGAGGTCTGTCTCTCTTGCTGTGCCCCCGTCATCTTCAGGACCACCAGCCCGCTCATCCTCTTTATCCAATCGCTGTTTCTGGGATGTGCTTCTCTTGTCTTCCAGGTCAGAATGTAGGGTGTTTTCATGAGTGGCTGATACCATTACTGGGGCTGATTCTGCTTGAGACTTGGGCCCCAAGGGCACAGTATCCTCTCCAGGCTGAGGAGTCCACTGGTCACCTTTTTCAGAGGACGTCTCTGCGGGTAATAAATGTGTACCTGCAGACTTCAAACTTTCATCTGTCTCTGAAATCTTGGCAGTTTCTACCACCTCCTTTGTAGCTACAGCTGTTAGAGTTACCGGCATGTCAGAGCTTTGAACTTGGACCTCTGTGTAACCTGCTTCCTCTTGGTCTATGAGAGAAGAGCTTCCTTCAAGACTGCTCACTTCCTTTCCCTGGTCTGAGCCAGGCATGGCAACTGTCTGGACTGGCTGCTGGAGGACTTCATGAGTGGGAGCAGCTGTTTCTAGCTCTTGCTTTTCACCGGCTTGTTCTGGCTTTGTTCTGGCTTTCTCCCTTTCAACATCAGTTTCCACCTTTCTCTCCTCTGGGGTCAGACTCTCACTTTTCTGACCACCTGCCCCATCAGTCACTTTCCCATCGAAGTTCACTTCGGCAATCTTTTCCTGACTGTCGCATCCGTCTGTGCTGTGTGCAGACACCTCGAATCCTTCAACACACAGTCCGTCTTCAGCTTTTTCATCAGCAAACTGGCTAGCCTCTTGAACCACCTTAGTCTTTGACAGAACTAGTACAGCTTCCATGGAAAGTTCTTGTGTGGGTTCTAGAGCATCTTCTGTTCTAGGTTGTTCTTTATTTCCCTCCTGGGATTGAAAACTAGGAGGTGCCGGGGGTTCCTCTTTCTGGGTAAGAGCTGCCTCTGCTACCTGTGACTGCATACATGTTACAACAGCATTATCTTCCCAGCTTTCCATGGCCTCGTCTTGCTGTGTTGGGCCTCCGGCTTCTGGATCTGCTACACGGGTGCTTCCATTTGTCTCACTGTCTGTCAAGGTTTCGGCTGAGGCAGGGGCCATGGCCTGCTCCATCAGCTGCTGGGGCTTTTCAGCCTGGCACGTGCTGACAAGCTCCCTGGACTCTACACCTGCCACCTCAGGAACGTCTTCAAAGCTCTTGGGGGTGGCCTTCACAACTATGGACCCCTGTGTAAACTGCTCTGGGTCAGTTTCTTTCGTGGGTTCTCCCACTCCTACATCCTTCTCTTTCTCCACATCCAGTGCTTCGGAATCCTCCTCTGCTTCCTCCACCTTCTCCAGTGCTCTGGGTCCTGCTCTCTGCACAGTCTGAGTTGCATCCTCCTGCCCACTGGCATCAGGCAGCTCCGAGTCCTCCTTCACCTTTTCTGCAACTGCCTGCAGGATGGCTTGTGTCTGCCGCTTCTGCTCTTCCACATCTGGCACACTGCCTTCCACTTCCTGCACTGGGGTAGCTTCCTCTGTGGTGTCTGGGGAGTCGGTTAGCTGGGAAACTGCTGACACCATATCTGTGGTCTCTTCTGCCCCTGATGCTTCGGTAACTTCTTCAGCACCCAGAGCCTCGGTGGTTTCTACAGTGGTCACAGCTTCAGAGGTTAATTCCACCTCACTGACCACGGTGTCATCCTGGGCATCATTGCTCTCTGGCAGGGTCTGGGTGACTGTGGGAGTTTCTTCTGCAATGGCCTCTCTTTCGGCGACCTCCTCAGTGGACGGCATGGTTGCTTCTTCTCCTTGTGCAGGAGATGCTGTCATGGAAGCAGATATCCAAGAAGGAGACCGTTCTTCAGCAGTGGTGACTGCCCTGGTCCCATCAATGACAGCCACGCTCACTGTGTGAACCAGCGTTTTACTAAGCTCCTCAGACACGTACACAGCCCCCTGAAGCAGGGGCGTTTCCTCACTTGTCTGAGCTCGCTGCACTTCCATTTTTTCCCTTTCTACCGCATCATACTCAGAGAGAGGTACCACGGCTGGGACATCAGAATCTTCTTCGTTGATCTCCATTGGCCCTGTGTCTCCAGCAGTGGCTTGATCTTGCTTCCCATCTGACCTTTTCTTCCGCCGTCCAGGAATGAATTTCTTAATGGAAACCCATGATTCTTCTTTACTGGGTTCAACATCTGAAGCCAAATGGTCTACACCAGAGTCCTCGATTTTCTCTTCCAGTTTGGACTTGGATTTTTTTCTCGGAGTGACTAATCTTTTAAATGACTCCCAGGTAGAAACACCCTCCCCTTCAGACGGGCTTTCAGCTGGCTCCGGTGAGGAGCTTCCTTGCTGCCCTTGATCATGTTCCTGGGACCCTGCAGGGATGGTGTCAGTGCCTGTTTCTTTGTCTTTGCTGGCGTCCTCCACTTGGTGAGTGTCTCCTCCAGTTGTTCTGGGACCCACCTCATCATCTGAAGAGGATGCTTTCCTCGCTCTCTTCTTGGATGATCCTACACAAATCAAAGCCTCCCACGACACTGAAGTGTCCACCTTGCGCTTTGGTTCTTCTGGCTTTTGCTCATCTCCAACACCTTTGCTTTCTTCTTGTATTTCGGAGGCCGCGCTCTCTGTGGACGACAGGGTAGCACTCTTGACCTTGTCCGGTTCTTCTTCCTTATCACTTTCGGAAGGCCTTCGGACCCGTTTCTTGGGTGTCACCATCTTCTTGAAAGATGCCCATGGAGTAATACCTTCTCTCTTCTTCTCTCCATCAGAAGTAGCTCCTTCCTCAGCCTCCCCTTCCTGCTGCCCATCAGCTAGCCCTTTCTCCAGACATGTAATCTCCTCAGGCTCCTCAGGGGAGGAAGCAGAGCTGTCTCCCTTCTGCTCATCGGCACTTTCTGGGGATTCTGATTGAAGGTGCTGGTGTTCTCCTGGCTCTTCATCTCCGCCTCCTCCTCGTTTCCCCTTCTGTTTCTTCCCAGAAAGCTTCTTTAAGCCTGAGCTACTGAACAGTTTCTTTAAGGGGCTTCCCTGCATCTTGATTCTCTCTTGAGAGGACAGCATTTCTGCCTCGCTGGCAATGCCTTCGGGATGCTTAGTCAACACTTTCTCATCAGGACTTAGATCCATCAGCTGCGTATGGTCTCCCCCAGAGACACATACTTCTTTGGGCTTCACCACCTCCTCAACAGGTTCATCTTCCGGAGGAGGCTCATTTTTTTCAGTGGGCATGGGTTCTCCTGTTTCCCCCATGGCCCCTGCTTCTTGCTCCTCCATCTTTTCCAAAGTGCTCACATGGACTTCTGCAACAACTTCTTGCTGGACTTCTGTCTTTTTGTCGAACACTTCTGTTGCCAGTGGAGCGCGCTTCTCCTCGGAAGGTCCCTGCAAGCCACTGACTTGATCTTCCAAGGGGAGCTCCACCTTCTCATAGTCAGCGGACAGTCTGGCCTGATCCACGACTTCTGCAGGCTCCTGGGGCTGCAGCTCTGAGGCTGGGGCTTGGTCAGAGGTTCCACCCATCTTTTCATTTTCCTCCGTGTCTACTTCTTCTGGCTCTTGCTCCTTTTTTTTCTCAGACGCTTCTAGCTCATCCTCCTTTGGTTTCTTGAAACTTGTCTTTTTGCGCCAGCCAGCCCAACCGTGAGTGAAGAATTTCTTGAAGGATGATGTTGTCTCAGTGGTGACTGGGCTGGTCGGAGATTGTGGAGGCTTTGCCGGCTCTTTTTCTTGTTTCTCTTCTTCGTCTTTGCCTTCTCCTTCAGCTGGTGGAGTAGATTTAGCTTGAAGAGGAATTTCTGTGCCGCTTTGCTCTTGCTTCAGGGTGTCTTCCGGCTTCTCTATGGATTCTTTCAACTCGCTTTCTTTGGATGCTGGCTCTCTGCTCTCCACGCTGGGCTCTTGGTGGTCACCAGCTCCCACTGACCCTTCTGCTCCTTCGCCCTCCTCCTTTTTGACAGTGAGCAGCTGGACGGCATCAGATTTCTCGTTTTTATCCTTTTTCACGGTGAATTTAAAGCCAACAAACTTGAACACCTTCTTAAAGCCAACATCGTTACCCTGGGTCTCAGTAGGCTGTGTCATCTCCTCCAAAGTGCTTTCTGAAGCAGGAATCTGTTCCATTATTTCAGGCATTTCCTCCTGCCCATCCTTTGTGATGTCTTCAACTGCAGAGTTTGCAGCCATTTCCTTACCTCTGTCTTTCTCTCTCACATCTTCTGACTCTCTCTGTCCAACTATTAACAAAGGGGAAGGAGAAGGGAAAAATGATTTAGTTCAAAAATTATAAACTCTCTTTAATGTCCAGGTAAGGAAGAGCCAGAGAGGTGTTTGTATTTAATACAAGTTTCAAATGACCTTCAAAATTCAAGTTCAAAGACTGCTTTGGTCTTTCTCTTTACTCAGTTAAGAAATTAGTTACACGGGGGTGGAGAGATGCTTCAGTGGTTAAGGCACTGGCTGCTCCTGCAGAAGACCCAGATTTGAATCCCAGCATCCACATGGTGACTAACAACTATCCGTAACTCCAGTTCCAGATCTGAGACCCTCTTCTGTCCTCCGAGGGCATTGCACAACATGGGTGCACTTACATACATGCAGGCATAACGCTCATACACATAAAATAAAAATAAAACATTTCAACTAACATACATTCATTGTATACAGTGAAGGATTTTAAAAAAAGAAATTAGTTACACATAGCCACAGCAGCATTAAGGGTGGGTCACCAGGTGGTCTATTTCCCTTTGCAATGTCAAGTGGAATCACAAACCACGCTCCTAATCTTTAACCAAAACTGTCAAGTTTTAGATGTCATTTCTACTTTGTAGGAAATAAAGAATGCAAGAATTAACCTAAATAACAACTTTAAAGAAGGGAGCATGCTTGGTGGCAACCAGCCTCATCTTAAGCTGACAGGGTTATGTAAACAAATATAAGAGCCACCTGAATGGGGCACCCATCAGCCAGAAGCTGAGGCCTAAGAATAAGGGCATTAACAGGTTGCAGCACATTGAAAAAGTGAAACAAAACAAAACGCAAGAATCACCCACTAATATATGAGCAGTGATACTTTAAAAAAAAAAAAAGTAAATGAAGATCAGGGAGTATTTAAAAAATTGTGTATGGATGTGTGTGTGTGTGTGCACGTGTGTCGAGGCGGGCATTTTTATTTTACATTTATTTATTTATTTATTTATTTACCTATTTGTTTAGTATGTGGGGGGGTGTCATAGCACACATTTGGAGGTCAGAGGACAATTTGTAGGAGTTGGTTCTCTCCTTCTACCATGTGGATTCCAAGGATCAACCTCAGGTCATCAGATTTGTCAGCAGGTCGAATATTTGCCTCAATGTTCAGTAGTGGGTTTTTTTTTTAATTAAAAAAATTTTATTTTATGTGTATTCATGTATTGCCTGCATGTAGGTAAGTGTACCCGTGTCGTGCAATGCCAAAGGAGGAAAGAAGAGACTGTCAGGATTCCTTGGAACTGGAGTTACGGACAGTTGTTAGCTGCCATGTGGGTGCTGGGATTTGAACCTGGGTCTTCTGTAAGAACAGCCAGGGTTCTTAACCATCTCTGAGCCATCTCTCTAGCCCATTGTTTTTGTTTTTCTAAGACAGGGTCTCACTATGTAGCCCTGGCTGGTCTGGTCTGGAACTCACAGAGATCTGTCTGCCTCCACGTTTGGAATGCTGGGATTAAAGGTGTACATCTTCCCACGTCCCGAGCCATTTGGCCTAACTTTAAACTTTTTAAATCCCAGTACTCAAGAAGCAGAGGCAGGTGAATCTTTGTGAGTTTGAGGCTAGTCTGGTCTACATAGTGAGTTCCAGGCCACCCAGGGCTATACAATGAGATCCTGTCTCAAAAAAGAAAAAACCAAAAAAAC